GAGCGACAATGAAACACTAAAATAAACCCCTTCGGGGGAAACAGTACTGAGAGGATTATATATAGGCAATGTCTCAGCCTCACAATCCCTCAGAGTATTGCTGTTTTCACGAGGTATACCTAACTTTACTAAAGACTAATTTTCCCACCCCATTCTTCTTGTTCGTCTTCGTCTGGGTGTTGCAGAAGTAAGGCAATGTGCATCTCGGTGGGGTTGAACGCCTCCTCTTCTTCCTGCGCTGGAACGTCGACCGCGTTTACCTGGAGGGTGGGTTGAGATTGCCGCTGTTGAAATGTCGGCTTACCCACTCGCTGGTTAGAACAGTGATTCATGCACGATAAGATGTGTCGAAAGCTGGGTGGCGCATTCGTGCGGCATGCATTACAAACCGTTGTAGGTGGACGTCCAGCGTTTCCTGCTGCTGGAGGTTGGTTCTGTGCCTACTGGTTTGCGACGCCTCTATTCTGAGGCTGCCTCCTTGCCTGTCTGGTGAAGCCGCGTAGCCTGTCTGCGGTTGCGTCGGTCATACCTCTTTGCCTGGTTTTTTTTAGATACCGGATCTGTCTGCTCATTGCGAATAGTGAAATCTGCTTCCTGTATGTCCGGGTTCAGAATTCGTAAGAGCTCTTCCGTGTCCATACTATCCCATCCTGGGTGGTGCTGGAGGGTTCGTTCATACGTTAGGTGACCTGTCAAGTCTTCCAGTCCTTGCACGAGGCAATGGTTCAGAAGTCGTTGCGGAAAATCCCCTTTCTTCTCGGCTCTGTCCCAACTTTTTTTGTGGATGTCAACCACCTTGCTCAGATATTCCCGTGTTGATTCGTTACCTCTCACTCGGGGGTTACCTCGAGCAAGTCGTTTGAACGGTGTATCTATCGTGGCTCGCTTTCGTGATCGCAGATGCTGTCGATCACCTGCGCCGCCGTCAGTCTCGTGAGGTTTTCGTTGTTATATTTGATGAAGTCCAATGTAGGTTTGACCGCCTTAAAGTGAACCAATACCTTGTAAAACCAACGTACCACCATGCATCATCGAGGCCAGAGACTTGTGCGTTCTTCACTGCTTCCTCTAGTGCCCCTCTTGTGTCACGTTCCGCCACGTTGTGGAGTCGATACATTCCTTGTGGCCAATCTGGCCATTAGCGAGGCTCATTAGTCTTCTGCTGACGCTTTAAGGCCTCTTGTTGGGTCTGAACTGCTCCTTGCAAAGCATTTACATCGTTGCTCATCGTGTTGCTCTTGTGCTTCACATAGCGACACTGCAGATTCTGCTATCTTTGCTTCCAGGAGGCTGCAATAATCTAGTTGCTGCTGTTTCGTCTGCTTAAGCGGTACTACGGGTGTCTGTGCACCCCGGGGAGGGGTCGTGTGGAGAGGTGCGTGGTGTGGCGTAGAGGTGCGAGAGGTGGAGTTGTTCGCGATACTCTGTTGACTGCGAGTGTCGAAGACGGCTGCTTGTGTCGGCTGTGGTGCCCTGTCCCTCTGCCGCAATAACTGCTGTCGAAGTCGGTATGCTTATTGGGCTTGAGCGACTGTACCGTGGGGGTTTTCCCAAAACTGTCCCTCTTGCATCTCTCTCTGTGTTTCTAGTCGTCTATCTCTGTGTGACCCAACACGTTTATTCTTGTTGCTACGTGATCCATGGGATTGGGCGGAATAAAAGGCTAGGTTGAACTCATTGTCGTAGTCTTCTTCGTGATTCCCTTCGTTGTCCCGTGGGTATTGATCCTGGATCGCCCTGCGTCTCGACTGGTGGACATCCTCAAACGGTCGAGTCGGGCGTTTCCACGTGTTGTCCCTGTCGTCGCTGTATCGGTGGGGTGATTGGGATATATCGCTGCTCCTTGTGAAGTGTTCATCACTTCGTCGTCCACTCCGGCTCTCATAACCTGAACGTTCGCTGCGTCGGTCGTCCCTCACGTTGGTGTCATGAGTTCGTTTCTATGGTTGGGGCTCATGAAGGGCACTGTGCTGCTTTTTGCGCATCCGTTCCTTACGACGTTCTTTGTCGATGTCTGA